CTCTGTACTGTTAAAAAAAATGATGCTTCTCTTAATTGAGAAGTGTGGTGTCCCCTCCCCAAAAGAAATATTTAAAGAAAACTTTGTGCCCTAAAAAAACAATGGGATGGGAGTTCAGTGGGTAGGGATATAAATAAACAAGACTGTCCACTGAATTGATAATTGTGGAAGCTGGATGATCAGCACGTGGAGGTGGATTTTATACCATTTTCTCTATATCTGTATGTTTGTGAAATTTGCCATTTTAAAAAAATTGGGCAAATGGTCTCAGCCCTCCATTCTCATTTGTCCCTTTAAACCCTCCATTCCAGCTGAGCATGCACCATGTTAGTTCATGCCTCTGACAATACCCTTCCTTCAATCTGGCAGTCTTCTCTGCCTGGAAAATTCCTACTCTCATCAACAGCCAGGGCAATTGTCACTTCCACTGAGAAGCCTCCTCCCACTCCTACAGTCAGAAAAGATTGTCCCTTCTCGATGCTTGGGGCTCCTTCTCTGTGAAGGGTCTCTATTTCTATTATTGCAAATACTATGCTCCAGTGTCATTATTCATCTCCCCGGCAGACAGTAAACATTTCCACAAATGAGACAATATCTCATCAATCTTTTGTCTGATCTGGCCCTTAGCCCTCTGCTTGGCTTAGAACTGGCACTTAATAAATATTTGTTCAATTAAGAGGTAGGGTCTAGCAAGGAAATTACTAGTTGTTTGATTTGGTATATGTTGATTTTGAGAAGTCTGAGGAATATAGGAGAGAAAGTGAATGAGAAACTAGTGTTATTGAGCCTCTGTCAGAAGTGTGCTGGGGCAAGGAACAGAGTAGGGAACAGAAGGCAAGGCTCCTGCTCTTAAGGACTTTACTTTCCCTTGGTTGGGGGAGAGCATGGAGAAAGATGTAATTATAGAACACTAGAGACCCAGTGCATAAAATTCATACACAGGTAGGGTCCCTAGCAGCTGCTGGCTGCTGGCCAGGGCGCTCCCTTACCCCGGCTGCCTGCAGCTGCTAGCCGTGCCCCTGGTCGAACTCCTGGTCAAACTCCTGCTCAAACTCCCGGTCAGGGGGACAATTTGCATATTAGGCTTTTATTATATAGGATGGTAAGTGCCATGGAGGAAATGGACATGGCAGAGCTTATTCCACTCCAGAGAAGTATCATGAGCCCACTTACGGATAAGTAGATGAGCAGGTGTTCCGATGAAGTCACTTTGCAAAGTCCACAGCTGTGAGTGCTGAACAGGACTCCCACCCTGGGCTGCCCCCTCCAAAGCCCATGCACTTTCCTCTGCCCTGTGCTGCCTCTCAGCAAGCAGGTGAAAATTCGGCGCTCAGACTGAACATTCAAATTTGATGCCATCTGTCTCTAGAGGAGAGTTTAAAGGGGGGGAGGGGGGAGTAAGGGCAGCTGACATTCATTGAGTACCTAATACACTCACGACCTTACAGTAAGCATTTTACACACAAGAATGTATTTATTCCATATAACAACTCTCATGAAGCAGGACTCTTAACAGCCCCCACTTGACAGTCCAGGAAATGGAAGCTTAGGAATAGTTGACAGAGATCACACACCAGCAAACACAGAGTCTAGTCTCTTACCTCCATTATTTTGTGAGAGAGAAGACTGAGATCAGAAGCCAGGTTAGGAAATAGCAGAACCAGTGAAAGAACCAGATGGTTCATTCAAGGATGTTGGATGAGAACTGGAGGTGGGGAGGAGACGTGTCCTGAGAGCCCAAGAAAGACTGTTAGAAAAGGGACCTGTGCTCAGTGTCAGAGCCCATGGAAAAATCCAGCACAGAGACCTGAAGGTTGTGGGATTCAGCCAACATGAGGTGGTAAAGAACCTTTGACAGAGCTATTTTGGGAAATGCAAACCTAACTCCCTACAGGGTCACTACCCAAGCCTCTGCTTGCCTTCCCTTATGTACCCCGCCCCCCAAAGACTCCTGTCCGTATTCTTCCTACTCAACTTCTCTGTTTGGGGAAGCCCCGGACTGTGCTCCCCATTCCCAATCCACCTCCACTCTGATCTCAGTCTCCCCATTTCTCCTGGCCCCAACCCAACACCTACAGAGCCAACTCTAACCAGCCAGTGCACCACCTGTAGGCTGTACCAGCCTCCATCAAGGCCATTCACTCATAGTACATGCCCAGCCCCCCTGACAAAGGACAGCTGTATCCCCCACCAGGGACAGGTGCTGGACTGGGAAGCAGGTGGGTGTCAATGGCTCAGGGAAGTGGGAGGGAAGAAAAGGCAAGAGGTTCCAGTGAGAGTGAATTTGCCAGTCACTTACCATGGCTCTTTGTCAATACCACTCAACCTTGGCTTCATCAGCTCTGTACCAAACAATTGAAAGAAGCAGCTCTGACGACCACATGATTTTGCTTCCCCACCCACTCCAACCGTAACTGATTGGAACAGGATGGTCACCTTCTCCAAGAGAATCCTGAACTTGGAATCAGGACACCTAATGAGTGGCTAAAGACCCAGTGGTCCAAGGACCCCAGTGTCTAACTGCCCTGTGGAGACAGCTGAGCTGAGGCAGTGAGACTCATGGCTGAGCACTAGGGTTAATAAAGGCCCGTGAACAGGCTGCCCCCATCCCTGCCCTTGCTGTGGTCTGATGGTTCAGCTATTCCTGGGTTTCTGCAAGCTATCTCTTTAATAAAACTTGTGTTGCCCTAACTTCTTTGGCTCAGTGGATAGAGCATCGGCCTGCGGACTGAAGGGTCCCAGGTTCGATTCCGGTCAAGGGCATGTACCTAGGTTGCAGGCACATCCCTAGTAGGAGGTGTGCAGGAGGCAGCTGATCGATGTTTCTCTCTCATCGATGTTTCTAACTCTTTATCCCTCTCCCTTCCTCTCTGTAAAAAATCAATAAAATATATTTTAAAAAATAAAACTTGTGTTGTACCAGTGGGTTTCTGTTGCTGGCATCCCTAATCTCCTTGGCCAATCTCCTTGACCAAGATAGATTTTTGTAGGACTGAGAGCACAGGGCAGGAGTCCGAAGGTGGGAGGGTCTGAGTTTAGGGTTTCATAAATAACAGTTAAGTGTGTCGATGTCTAAATCGGAGTGGAGGCGACCTCCTTCAAGTCCTTGGGTTGAGTCCACTCCATTCTGTTCAACACACATTTAACGAGCACCTGCCTTGTGCCTGACGTGGTGCTGGGCAGCCAAGACAAATAAGCAGCAGCTGCTCTGTGACGCTCACAGTCTCGGAGTGGGTACAGACATGGAAACATACTGCAATACGACATAATGAAAGCAGCAATGGAAGCACATACAAAGTCGGTGGCAAGTGGGGTGGTGGAATGGCATCATGGAAAAACAAGCAAGGGGGTCTTTGAACCATGGTTTGGAGTCATCCAGGAAGGCTGAAGAGTCCTGGAGGGTTTTAGCCAAGGCACTAAAATGGGGGAGAGCAAAACTCCCAGGCTTCAGGATAGGTGGGCGTGCTGAAGAATGGTGTTGGGGGCACTTGGAAGGTTCAGAGAGGAGTGGGGGGGAGGCCAACCTCTCTTTTTTCCCAGGGAGCCTGGGAAGTAAGCTATGGGCCTCCAGAGATAATGGAGACAATAACAACAAATTGTGTGCTGGGGTGTGGAGAGGGGAGAAGTCAATGGAAACGAAGGGTGGGTGCCTCCAGGGAAATGGACTCTGGCTGGGGGAGGGGAGGCCTTTACTTATAACTAAACATGTTTCCGTAAGGCTCACAAGATAGTGGAGAGTGTTCATTTAATAAATAGTGTATTTCCTGAGTGCAGGCACCACGCTATGTACACAGCTCCTGCCCTGCAGAGCAGTCTAGTGGAGAAAATAGATATTAAATAGTCATACAAATAAATGTACAAAAATACAACTTAAAAAGGTGCTATGAAGGAGAAGTTCAGTGAGCTGTATGGGAAACGAGGTCCGAGAAGACTCCCCCTGAAGAAGTGACAGTTTAGCTAAGGCCCACACACTAAGTGGAAGATAATGGGTGAAGATGGCCAGGAAGATAGACTATCTTGGATGTGGGATTCAGACAGATACACTGACAAAGAGAAGGGAGGAGAGGCCAGGATAGCAGGAGATCTTTGGGGCCTTGGGAGAAAGGTTCTGAGAAGAGAGTGGTCACACCTGTCACTGCCTTCATTTCTCCTGGTCACTGTTAAATGAAATTCACTGAAATTCGTTTCCACTCCAGTGAACAAACATCCTTCCTTCCTTTGCTCGCTGACCGGTTCATTCATCCATCCAACCGGTCCACAGTGAGCAAGGTACTGAGCTAGGAGGCACCAGGAGAAGAAGCCGAGGGACACCCACTGGCCTGGGGAGTTTATAATAAATGACAGAAATGCTATTCTGGCACTTCCTTTCTATTGTTTTGACCCGCTGCCTACCAGGCAACGGAAGGAGGATGAAGAAGTGACTGCGCTAATCAGAACGCAGAACATAGGAAACGCTATGATCAGCACACTGATCTCTCATCCCCAGTGGCTGAGGGAATGTGGGAGGAGGGGGAAGGGTGATAAAATGTCCAGGTGGGAGGACCGTCGCTGAGACTTTTCTCTCAGAGTTCAGTCATTCACTGCAGGCATCCCTCACTGAAGTGAAAAGCTCTGTATTGCATGTATAAAAATGTGCCACACGGGAACATACTTACAGAACCCTCTAATTCATGAAATAGAGAGTCCATTTCTTTCAAATAAGGGCTGTTCTCACAGAAAGCAGTAGGAGAATCACTTGGGTGAGGAAGTCACCGGGCCTGTGACACTCAGGAATCACAGAATTTCCCACAGTGGCCACAGCTGTGGGAAGCGTGGTGCTCACCCCTTTGGCTGTCCACACACTGGGCATCTGGCCCCACCAATGGTCCTCCCTTGGTTCTGGCCTTGGCCCTCTTGGCCTTGGCTTGGCTGCTGCAGTCATTCCAGATTCCTGGGTCACACATAGCCCTGGGGAAGCCTAAGAATCCCTCAAGCTGGAGGCTGCCCGTGCTCCAGGAGCAGACCGGTTTATGCTTGGAACCCCTATGTTAGCACACAAGTTACTTAGCATTATTCCAAAAGGTTAACAGTAATTCCCTCTAACAGGTGGAACTGTGTATAGCATATGCTCATTTTGCATCTATGCATTGTCTAAATTTCCTTCAATAATCATGGATTACAGTAGTAATAAGGAAAAATAAACATTTTCCCCAATGTAGAGGAGGTGGGAAGCCAGGGTATGGCTTTCTTACCTTCCCAGAGCAGCCCAAGAGAGAAGCTGGTGTTGATAAGGAATAGCTCTCTTATTGCATGTAAGATAAGCCTTATAAAATTAAATAAAAGCAATTCACATTTATCATACCACTCACAGATGTGGCACCCATGGGATTTCGAAGAACCCTTCACAGACTTGCCTCCAAGACCCACTCGACAGCCCTGTGAGGTAGGTCCGTCTGGTTCCCTTCTATATGCAGGGACCTGGAGGAATTGGCACAGGGAATGTGGAGTCGAGTCCAAAGTGAGGTCTCCAGCCAGTCCTTCCCTTTAAGGTGCTTGTCCCGCTGAACCGCCTGAGTGACAGGCAGCAGAATCACAGGACAGAACAAAGGAGGCCCCAGGACGCAGCCACAGAAGGCGCTGGCTGCCTGGGGCCTGGCTATTTCAGACTTGCCCTACTTAAGGCCTGCCTTCTCAGGACTGTTCTATAATCCAAAGTCGTCTGACATTTTGCAATGTGACATCCATGGGACACGACTGGAAAAACCCTGGTTATTCCGTACTTTTTGTGCCTGGAGGAGACGGTAAGGAAGGCGAAGCTCTCAGAAAGCCTGCCAGAGCTTTCTTGATGTTCCTTGGTGCTCATGTGTCCTGACAACAGTTACAATTGCAACTTTGGGCAAAGAATAGGTTGGAAGACGGTTTCAATGTTTTCCATCAGAACAAGGTCATACCGACACAACTGGGGCCTGCAAAAATAAGATGAAATAGTCTTGTCAACGAAATAATAAATATGCCCTATTCTAGTCAAATAACTTGTATTATGTCCTTAGGATATGAAATGATTTAGCAATTATTTCTAATGTTATAGGGAAATGCTATGGTAAATAAGCAAAGTAATAGCAGCAACAACAATAAAACAGGATGTAAAAATTTATTTGACACAGAAAGTCAACTAGGTCTAAGAACAGTAATAGAGCCCGACCGGTGTGGCTCAGCGGTTGAGGTCGACCCAGGAACCAAGAGGTCACCGGTTTGATTCCTGATCAGGGCACATGCCCGGGTTCTGGGCTCAATCCCCAGTAGGGTTCATGCAGGAGGCAGTCAATCAATGTTTCTCTCTCATCGATGTTTCTATCTCTCTATCCCATCCCCTTCCTCTCTCAAAATCAATGAAAACATATTTTTTAAAAAATAACAGTAATAGAAAGCAGATTAGAAAGAAATAACCAAAAATGTTAACAGTGGTTACCTTTGAATAATGACATTATGGGTGATGTTTTTCTACTTCCTAACACTTTCTGTACTTTCCAAAATTTTTAAATGAACACGTATCCCTTTGGTAATCAGGAAAAAAGTATTAAAAGAAACTTGTATTATTAAATGTTTTGGTGTACCCTAAACCTTAGAAGAAACTTATATTATTAAATGTTTTAGGGTACCCTAACCCTTCAGGAAAAGGGAATTTATAAAGTACTAGTGTTCACATCACTTCCTGCCTCCCTTGTGCCTGACGTTGGATGCTAGAACTATATGTGGCATTAGTCACTAAACATACATACAATCTCAGCTTTTTCTTTTCTCCTTTGTCTCTATCTCTACACAAACACACACACACACACATTCACACACAAACACACTCGTTGTTTACTTTTTTTTTTGAACCAATTGAGAATAGGTCATTTACCACTTAATTCTTCAGTGTGTATTTCCTAAGAACAAGGACATTTTCAGTGCAGTTATCAAATTTCACTTTCATATTGTACCAATGGAATAAAATATGCTAATTGTTCTATACCATTTTTTATACTAGGACCTGTTCTATCAGTTTGCTGAATTATATGAGACTTTCTTTTCTACAACAAATTAGCAACTTGCAAAGCAATGTGGGTAGAGTGGTTAGGGAGGAATTGTATAACTCTATACATATAAGGACAATTATTTCTTTGGACTATTGGGCCATTTATCTTGAAGTGCATACCAGTAAAATTTCCTTGGATTGCTGGGCTACTTGTTTTTATCAAGTCTATTTTTGGAAAACTCTTCACTTCCTTCATTGTGATTGATGAAGGCCAATTATAGCATTAGACCAAGCGGACTGGACAAGAACCAACAACATCTTTGGAAAACGGGCTTGTCAAACCCTGCCTATGTATGGCTCACCTCTCTGGATGGACAAGTGACCTTAACTTCATTCGGAGAATCCTGAGCTTGTACCTCGGGCCTACTACAGATCCTGTAGAGAACACGAGGGAAATGGCTGCCACTTTATCCAGGTCTCGACTAAACCTTGCAAGCAGACTCACTTGGTGGTATTTCTGGAATGTTGCAGGTTCACTAGAAGAAAGAAATACTATTTTTATTTTATTTATTTTTATTTTTTAATAATTCTTTATTGTTGAAAGTATTACATATGTCCCCTTCCTCCCCCCCCCCCACCCACCATTGACTCCCTCTAGCCTGCCCCTGCCCCCCACCCCAGGCCTTCAGAAATACTATTTTTAAATGGATATTGATTGCTAGTGAAAGAAAAGAGTTTTGAAACTTATAAATCAGTAAGCAGGCAGCCATTTGACTCCATAGCCTGCAATAGCCGACTTTCGTGGGCAAAGTCCACTGGCTTCTCAAGCACTGCTGACCCCAGGACCAAGGAAATGCTATGACTTTAGAGAGGTTTGTGCTGCCTACAATAGCCAGGCAGCATCCTCAACTCTTGACACATGTCTCCAACCCCCTGAAAATTACTGCAAGGTGAGTATTAGTATCTTCATTTCACAGACAAGGAAACAGGTGCTTTTAAAGGATGACTGTTATAGGATGTGAATTATATTTCAATTTCTTAAAAGGTTAAAAACAAGAAATACATGTGAAACATGGATATAGAAAGAGTCATCAGGCAGATAATAACCTTGAATGTGACTCCATTTGCACCCATAGTCTGGTAAGACTGGATAAACTCAAAGTACATACTGTAATATCATTTCCTTTACCTTAAATTGTAAAAATAATACTAAAATGTCAAAGTTTACCTTGCAAAAAAAGTAGCCATTATTTCCCACATAATAAAACAAGTATTTCCTTTTATTCCCATATATTCTCTGATTGGTGATGACTTTTTCACAAACATGACTAAAATGAGAATGATTAAACATGACTAATATGAAGATGTTAAGGTCTCTATTGTAATCAAGATTTAAAAACCCTCCAAATTTAGGAGTCCCTACTTGGAAGAAATTAACTATGTAAAATTAAAACTCCTATGCCAGGTACTAGTAAATACGTAAGCAATTATTGACATGAATACTCATGTTTTGCTAAGTGAACACTCTCCATTATATAACTGCATGATCTCCCCTGCTATTTCCTAGAATCTCCAGATGAGGTCTCTGCCTCGCTTCCTCACTGAAGGTCACAGCTCAGAAACTACCTGAGGCTGATTCTTCAAGATGTGCTACACAGAGGGTGCCCTCCCTGAAAATGCTGCCCCACTGTGGGTATGAGAACACTGATACTATAGTGCGGTCATTGAAATAGATCAATGAAGATCCCCAAAAAACCCACTACTCACAAATCCTAACAATGGTGGGGTGGAGGGAGCAATACAGCTTAGTGGGAGGAATATAATATAGTGATTAAAGCTATGGGCTTTGGGGTTGAACAGATCTGTCTCTGCTTTCACCTCATTCACCCTGATCAGCCAGCTGTGTGATACTGGCCAAATCACTTTCCTCATATGTACAATAGAGATGGTAATACTACCTCACAGGGTTTTAGTGAGAATTGCATTAACTAATGTGTGTAATGTACTTACTTCAATAAACAAAGGCTATTATCATTATTATCCAAGGATGCATTTAAAAAAAAAGTCACCTCACCCTAGCTAGTTTGGCTCAGTGGATAGAGCGTTGGCCTGCGGACCAAAGGGTCCCAGGTTCGATTCTGGCCAGGGGCACATGCTCAGGTTGGAGGCTTGATCCCCAGTGGGGGGCGTGCAGGAGGCAGCCAATCAATGATCATTGATGTTTCTATCTCTGTTTCCCTCTTCCTTCCTCTCTGAAATCAACAAAGAAATATATATTATATATTAAAAAAAAAAAAGTCACCTCGCCTGGCAGGTGTTGCTCAGTGGCTGAGCATGGACCTATGAACCAGGAAGTCACAGTTCAATTCCCAGTCATAACACATGCCAGGTTGCGGACTCAATCCCCAGTAGGGGGCGTGCAAGAGGCAGACGATCAATGATTCTCAGCATTGATGTTTCTACATCTCCCTCTTCCTTCCTCTCTGAAATCAATAAAAATATATTTGAAAAGTCACCTCTAAACCACCCATCCACACTGTCTCTATCTACACACTGAATCCATAAGGCAATTGCCAGTTTCAGATGACATTCTTCTTGGTCCTCAATGGGTAAGGCCAAGAGACAACCCAAATACCTACTAGACAACGGGAACCAGGACACATTTCCTGAGAAAATGAATAAAATAAGCCTCAAGTGTTTTTGCTTAAAGAGTTTTGGTTTCTTTGTTCTTTTTCTCAATTGTAAAAGTAATAGATGAAACAAGTATTAACAATTTTAAACAATATATAAATATACATATATAATACATATATACAATATATAGAAAATTGAAAAAATAAAGAGAAACTGAGAGAAAGCACTCATATTTCCACAACCCAGGGGGCAATCTAATATTTTGCCATATTTCTATTTCATTTTTTATTAAGTTAAGCTAAAAATTTATACATAGATAATACATGTTGAATTTTATACTTGGCATAATTTGATATCCTGAAGTATTTCACTTAGTATACTATAAACATCTCATTTAATATGTTTTATAAATAATCCCAATGCATGAATGGTATTCTATTATATGGGAACATTTAAATCAACCATTTCCTCACTGTGCGGGTTTTAGGGTGTTTCCAATTTTCAATTGCAAGTTACATTTTCTGAGTTTCAAGAACATATACATATGTTTACATATATATGTGTGTATATATATGTAAGTATGTTTATGTATAGTATGAGCTCATAAGAGAATAGAAACATATGTGTACGGGGGTGGATGCCTGTGAGGGTGGGATTGTTGGGATGGACCAAGAATTTGCACTTATATTTTACATACTCCTTAACTGTCTAAGTCCTTTACAGCAAGCAAAGATGAGTTTTGTAATTAAATGCTTAAACAAAGGAATGAAGGAGAAGAGGGAGAAAAGGAAGGGAGGGTGAAGGGTGAAGTAGGAAAGGGAAAGAAGGGAGGGAAGGAGGAAGAGAGGAGACAGGGTAATAAATCCTTGCACCAATTACATTTGTAAAGATCCTGGGAGATCAAGAGCCACAGGAAGCAACTAAACAATATGTCCCCTTATATCTTTTGTAAAACAAAGGAAAGTACAGACATGTAAATAAGAAAACGGGTATATTTGGAATTCAATGTCTCTGAGCAAAAAAGGAAAATAGCAAACTGTAAATGATCCCAACCCAACTTACTGATCAATTTTGGATTCTGTGGTATTTCCAGCTTTGTCTTTCAATTTGATTGTAATGGACCCTCTTCTTATGTTCTTGTTCCAAGTTATAATATCCACAAAGTAATGATATACTGCAAAACCAGGAGAAAACATGGTAAGAGAGAGATACTCCCAACTGTTCTCCTAAAGGGCCAGTTTTTAAAAACCCAACCTCCCTAATAACTGAGTCTCTTTTTAAATTCTTCTCTAGTTTCTCTGCCAACATTAGGGCAAAATTTTCTAAAATGCCTTTCTATTCCCTTTGGTAAAGATGGCTTGAGTGACAGCAGAACCCAATGGTATCCAGTCGCGATGTTTAGGCATTACCGTTGAAACAGTGTTCCCACCTATTGAACGAGGTCTCATGGCCTACTGCTGAGTGACAGGTTCATTTCAATCCCCGCCCATTTTAGAATAAGCCAACCAGGTGGCCATGTAGAGACCCTCCACAGCTGTCAAGGTCTTCCCCAGCCTGGGCCACATCCACCAGCGTATCCAGCCTCCCCCTTCACTTCTTCGGTCATGCCACACCACCTGCACTGCCAAGCTCCCTCTTGCTCCTGAGCCTTCCCCTCACTTGGACACTCCTTTGCCACCTTTGCCAACTCATCCATCAGGTTTCAGCTTAATGTCACTTCGTCCAGGAGGCCTTCATTGACCCTCAGATTAAGTCAGATCTACCTCTTGGAATTCTTATCATGCTCTGGGATTCTCCCAGTATTAGTCAGCACACTTTACTGTATTTTTAAAATGCAAGAAAAAATGATAATAAAAACGTGGTAAATGAATGGGTACATTCTATATATTAGTAAATATTGCCTGAATAGTGTCTTATGAGGTTACAAAAAAGTGATAAAACTAAAATATACTACAACAATAAGTGGGAAGAAATAAAGGGAAGATTATTCCTCTTTATAATCTCAGCAATAACATCTTATAGACACCCATTAAATTCCTACTCAATAAATGAGCGTGCCTGACATGTTTGGAGGACTCTTCTTCCTCCTCACTCTTTTTGGTTTTTTAATATATTTCTTTATTGATTTCAGAGAGGAAGGAAGAGGTAGAGAGAGATAGAAACATCAATGATGAGAGAGAATCATTGATCGGCTGCCTCCTGCACGCCCCCCACTGGGGATCGAGCCCGCAACCCAGGCATGTGCCCTTGACCAGAATCGAACCTGGGACCCTTCAGTCTGCAGGCCAACGCTCTATCCACTGAGCCAAACTGGCTAGGGCTTCCTCCTCACTCTTTGCTCACCAAGGTCAAGGATGCTTTGGGAAGATGGGATCCCACGATGACATTCAAATTTGCTATTTCTTGGTCAGACTTGTAGAGAAGGGGAAAGAGGCTCAGGGAGATGGTTGTCCCACAAAGGAGTAAGGTAAGCCCTGGAGTTGCCATTTTATGACCCATTATTGCTCAAGGGCCTGCTCCATTTGGACCTGGCAGACACAAAACCCTTGGCTGCCATATGTGGCTCTAAAGAAAGAGGGAAACCCAGTGATCTGCAGCCTCTTTTACAAGTGTTGTTCCCAAGAAAAGTGAAAAGGGAGACAAGATTACAAGACATACATCTGCCAGGGAAAATTCCTTGCTTCTCAGGCCATCTTATCTATTACCTCATTTAGCTCCCAGCTGGAATACCCAATCTCTCAACATCTTTTGAAGGTCATCATAGTTGCTTTAGAGGTGGAGCTGATCCACCCATAGATGTGGCTGACACCCAATTTTTCCTAGAGCCAATCTTATGTCTCTGGGGGATCAAGCAATTTTCTGGAAGATGTTAGCGATTACAATGGCCATCCAATGAAGCTAACAACTTTGTTGATATTTCAATCCTTATTACCCAGAAGATAGACATTCTTATCCCCATTCGACCTAGCAGGACATTGAGACTCAGAGAGGTCAAATGTCTTGACTAAGGTCGCACAGCTATGATGTAGAGTCAAGATTCGACCTAGGTCTTTCCAGCTCCAAAGTCCGTACTGCACCATGGCCTGCATTTACTAAGAAGTAGCTGGGAAGCTGAGACTCAGTCATTCCAAAAGTAAAGGGGTTGGGTAAAAGCAACAACCACATTCACTCACTGCAGAACGGTTTCTCCTCAGCTGTGTCAAAGTATGCTTTAGTCATAGGAGGGTCTTTCTCCGTTAAATAGTCTTTCCAATTATCAGCAAAATAGCCTACAAAACAAGTTGGAAAAGTGTAATGTTAACATGTTTTACATAAACGTAAAAGCAGTTGGGGAGGCGGCAAGAACAGTGAGTTTGGCTTCCATCACCACTGAGGTAATTTCCCTCACGCCCACCCTCATGGTGAGGACCCAAAGGGCCACCAGGGCAGTGCCTGCCCAGCACCCACCACACTCTACTCACTACCTGATCCCTAAGAGCTGGGACATGCAAAGGGCCCTACCGTGGTTTTCCCTCCTTTCCACTGACATTACATCACCCAGCCTGGTTCTCAGTAGCAGGTGGAGAAGTGGAGCAGACTAAAAATAGTGCTGATATTTTTCAGTAATACATTCATTTTATAGCTTAAACAGATTCAGGGACCTAGAACAGCATCACTCTTGCAAAGCAATGTGTTTTCTTGAACTGCAATCGAGCCCCTAAGCTGCATAGAACCTGCGTTTGCCATGTGGCTATGTCATCAAGCAGATGAATGTCCTTCACACGTGTGACTTCAGGAAGGAGACTGAGTCCCCTCAGTACCTCAGAGTGGCCTTGCTCTCTCTCCTCTGTCCCCATTCCTATAGAACTGCCTCTGGCTTCTGACTTGAACTGGGGTGGGACCCGGGCATCAGTATTTTTAAAAAGCTCTCCAGGTGATTCCAATGCATAATCAGGGTTGAGAATCCCTTGTCTACAGAACGCCCTGACGTTAACTTGGGTTTTTCCTTTGGGAGCAATTAGAAAATTCTCCTAACTCTCTGGTTCCAAGGTCCTCACCACCTGAAATGTTTCTATTAACCCTTAGCAAATATCCCCGCAGCCTCCACAGTATCCATCACCCCATCCCACCCCCGTACAGTGCACACGAGAGTCAGTACGATATGAAGGCACTTACAGGCACAACTTGTCGGAAGGAGTAATTCTGCAAGGCTCATGTGACCGAAGGGAGCAAAGAGGTTGTGTACAATGAGAGGGCATTCCTGTCCCCAAGGGAGCAGGCTACATAAGGGGATTGTGCCCTGGGTGGGCTTAGAAACTTTTCTGGAACCTTCTTTTTCATGCTAGAATAAAGGGTCCAAAGAGGTTGCACTGCCTTCTGGATGAAATCCTATAGAGCAGCGGTTCTCAACCTGTGGGTCGCGACCCCTTTGGGGGTCGAATGACCCTTTCACAGGGGTCGCTTAAGACCATCGGAAAACACATATATAATTACATATTGTTTTTGTGATTAATCACTATGCTTTAATTATGTTCAATTTGTAACAATGAAAATACATCCTGCATATCAGATATTTACATTACGATTCATAACAGTAGCAAAATTACAGTTATGAAGTAGCAACGAAAATAATTGTATGGTTGGGGGTCACCACAACATGAGGAACTGTATTAAAGGGTTGAGGCATTAGGAAGGTTGAGAACCACTGCTATACAGGTTGCTTTTCTAACATTGATTAGAAGACCCCAGAGTACTTCACAGAACAAATTGGCTAGAAAAAGCTGACCATATAAATTTTCCAAAAGCACACAATTTCCAGGCTTATTTTTAGATAGTAAAATGGTGCTGGGATTCCTACCAAAAATTTGCTCTTTGTTAATCAGAAGAAAAACTGCTTGTTGGACTTACCCAGAAGTGGACAGGACTCCGTTTGTGGTGTGCCACAGCTGACACACTTGCCGTTCCTATAATCCCGGTAGGAGTCGCAGGGATACGCAGTGACAGTGCAGTTCTCTCTCAGGGAAGAGAGGTACAGGTACACGGACTTCTGGTGGTCACATTTAAAGTACTGCATTCCTGGGTTGTGAAAGGAATGATTAAAGAGTAGAGCAGTTGTAGCATTTAATAATGTTATATGACAGACGGCATGTACACACACACACATACACACACACACACACACACACACGCAAACACAATTTGTCATGTCTCCTATATACCAGGCCCTGTACTAACAGCTTCAGTATATTCTATTCCATTCAATCCTTATAAAAACCCATAGATCAGAATTCATGCTAACAAGTGACAGGAGAAAAGATTGACAAGCATGATTGTCCCCGTTTTATCTCGCAGGACTTTGAGACTCAGAGAGGTTAAATGACTTGACCAAGGTCACACAGTTATTATGTGGTAGAATCAAAACTCGACCTATGTCCTTCCTTTGTCAGTGAAATGGAGAAGAAAAATTCAGTGGTAGTCAGAGATTCCCCAGAGGTTTTTAGCAGAAGACAAGTACGCAAGTACATTTAAACTATTCAAGATATCAAAAAAAGTAGCCATGGGGGGAGAGGGAGGGAAATGGTAGAGGAAGATCCCCAAGATGGGAAAGAAGAAGAGATAGCTTTGGGAAAGGATGATGGATGACGCCACCCTGGGTCCAGATGAAGTCACTCAGAAAAGGTCCCAAAGATGGGTAATCAATGGAGGTAAGAGGTAAGGTTCTGAATGGGAATCAAATCCCATGAAAAGAGGAGCTATGTCTCTGAGCTAGTGGTTTGTAGAGGCACTGAATGCTGGAGTCAGATCAATATTTATCCTCTTATGCCCGCTTAGGAAGCCAATATTTGTTTATTATTCCTAGATCTCCCACTTGCAAAAACAATGAAGCTAATAACAATGCAGAGGATGTCCTTTATAAGCGGAGCATGTTATCTTTGTCTGCTCATGGATGTAGTTACACTATATCACACAGGACAGGACTGCTTACCATTTATGGTACCATATTGTTGGCCCTATTATGCTATTTCATCAGGATCATTTTCAAAAACTACATCATTCCCATGGGGCCATAGATAGCTACCATTTTGTAACAAGATCATCTTTTTCTAGAATTATTTCCAGGATGTTTAACTTTCTATAGCAATGGTGAAATAAACATTTAGAACACTGAGGGATAGGTTTTTCATTTGGTCCATTTTTGTTTTGTGAGGTTTTTCCTGTTATAAAAGTAATATATGCTCATTTAGAAAATAGTAAATAATGATGTTAAAATCTCATAGAAGTCTAATGTCTAGAGATCATCCTAATTATTGTTTGGAGCATTTAAATTTAGTCTTCTTTTCTATACTTACACCTGTGCAAATACACATCCTACATAATAAAAGCCTAATATGCAAATCGACCGAATGGCAGAACGACCAGCAGAATGACGGGTCGCTATGACACACACTGACCACAGGGGGGCAGACACTCAACACAGGAGCTGCCCCCAGCCTGCAGGCCCCAGGCCAGCCAAGGCGGGTACCAGTGGGGAGCCCCCGTGACCACCCCACCAGTCACCCCACAGATCAGCCCTGATCGCTGACCAGGCCTAGGGACCCTACCTGTGCAAGAATTTCAAGAACAGTGACTCTAGTCCTATATAATAAAAGCCTAATATGCTAAGTGTCTGGTCATCCATTCAACCAATCAAAGCATAATATGCTAATGATATGCTAAGGCCTCTCAACTGCTCGCTATGATGTGCACTGACCACCAGGGGGCAAACAGTCGACCACTCAACCAGTTGCTATGATGTGTACTGACCACGAGGGGACAAATGCTCTGACTGGTAGGTTAGCTTGCTGCTGGGTCCGGCCAATCAGGACTGAGCAAGAGGGGCTGAACACACCCTGGAGCCCTCCTGTGGTCCCTCCCCAGCTGGCCAACCTCCCTATTGTGCACCAGTGGGGTCTCTAGGCCTGGCCTGCACCTTCTCACAATCCGGGACTCCTTGGGGAATGTCAGAGAGCCGATTTCAGTCCGATCCTGCAGGCCAGGCTGAGGCACCCCACTGGTGCATGAATTCATGCACCGGGCCTCTAGCTTAAAAATAAGTTGGGATCATGCTTATTTTTAGAGTTTGTATCTTTTTCATTTAACATCATACTGTAAGCATTTTCATTAACCTCTAAAATATGACTTTTAACAATTATATTCCTTTGTATGTATGTACCATATTCATTTAATAATTTTCCTATGTTGGACATTTAATTTAATTTCTAAAAATTTAACCATTATAAATAACACTGTGTTGAATACCTTTGCACTTTAATTTTTGTCTACATTTCCTATTATTTCTCTAAAAGAGATTTCTAGGTCAAAGACACACCTTTTCAAGAGGGACAGATAATTCATAATAGCTTTTAATCATTTGGTTATGGTTATTAACCAAATGTATATTTGAGTAATAATTATAATTTATAACTTATATTTATACCACCTCTACTTTCTCAGGAATCTTTTTTATTAACTACCCCCACATAGGATATCAGATTTTTAAAATATGCTTTTTAAAAACCATTATTTTACAAAATATAAAGTATCTGAACTTACCTCCAAATATTGTTTTGGGGCAACCAGGTTGATCCAATCCTCCATTTGGATAGAAGTCTATGTTTCCTAATGGTTCCTTGTAGCCCAGTGCTAAAAGAGAATATACTGCGCTTTACACTGCTTTGAACTTTGCACATCTCATAGCTCATTTGCCTGCAGGATATGGGCAAGGGCTGTATTATTGTTGTTGTTGTTGTTGTTATTGTTATTACTATTATTATACCTACTTAAATATTTTGCCCAAAGTTACCTAGCTAGTTAAAGAGCATCGTTGCTGCACACACACACACACACTCTAATAGGAGACTATGAAGATAGTGATGGAATTTATTTCTGATATTTGTAAAGACATAAGACAGCTTGGTCACTCATTCACTGCAAGGCTGATAAAAGAACCCCATGAAATGAAGAGCTATGTCTGTAAGCTAGTGGTTTGGAGAGGTACTGAATGCTGGAGTCAGGTCAACATCTCTCTCTCTTTTTCTTTTTTTTGTTTGTTAATCCTCACCCTTACCCTAGGATATTCTTTCCATTGATTCTTAGAGAGAGTGGAAGGGAGAGAGGGAGGGAGGGAGAAAAACATTGATGTGAGAGAGACATGTGGATTGATTGCTTCCCACACACACCCCAACTGGGGCCAGGGATTGAACCTGCAACCCAGGAACCCACCCTTGATGGGGAATCAAACCCTTGACCCTTTGGTGTGCAGGTCAATGTTTCAACCACTAAGCAACACAGGTCAATGTTTCAACCACTAAGCAACACCAGCCAGAGCAATACTTTTCTTCTTTACATTTGTCTGGAACCCTCTATTTCTTTAATGAATAAGAAACAGGGAAAAATGAACTTTTACTTAGTAGAAAAAAAAAATCTTTAAAAATTTGGGATCTAGGATAATCTTTAAAAATTTGGGATCTAGGATGACAGAGATTGGAAACTCTTCCAGAAAACAGGGACCTAAAAAATTATATATATATAAAAGTCTAAGCGACCATTACGAGCGGTCAACCGAACAACTGGTCAACTGGTCGCTATGATGCGCACTAACCACCAGGGGGCAGATGCTCAATGCAGGAGCTGACCCTTGGTGGTCAGTGCATTCCCATAGCCAACCTCCTGTGGCCCAGCCAACCTCTCATTGTCCCTCCCCCCGGCCAGCAGGCCCCAATCGCCAGCCAGGCTGAGGGACCCCATCTGTGCACGAATTTGTGCACCAGGCCTCTAGTAGATTTAATAACTGCTTATTCTCTTTAACCTTGAGACCCCAAATAATCAGTAAAATGTTTGATTAAAAAGATTATTTATATTTGTATATAAATAATGTTTACATCATTGCAATAATAATAGTTATTATCTATTGAGAACCTGTATGTGTTTGTAGGCATGATATGAGGTGTTTTACACACCTTCTAATTTCACAGTGTCTGCAAAGTAGCTATTGGTAAGTTCAAATGAAGTAACTTACAGATGAAGAGAATGAGGCTCAGAGGACTTCAGGGACAAACACAACCCACTAGAAAGAACAAAATCTGGGATTTGAGTCCATCTCTGCCGACCACAAAGTTTATATGCTTTCCTTCAAAATTCACTTTCTCTACAAAAATAAAAGATGAATTGCTCTATCCCATCAAGCATGAAGATGGCAGTGAGGTACTGCACTTAAGGTAATACTCTGCAGCTACACAGCAAGAATACAGCTGTTTCACAGAAATATTTTTTCTAAGGCAAACAATTGCTGAACACCACACCAAGAAAGGTGGTCAAGGTTATTTTTTAAGGTGGTTGTATCACAAAAGGGGTGTACAATTAAATGATTACTATGCTCTGTCCTCTCAGCCCTCCCCAAGTTCCTACTCCACCTCTTCTCTCAGACATCTGGATATAAAGACCCATCCTTAACATCACCCAAACCCCATGATGCACAACTAATCCCAGACAGGAAATCAGCACCATAAAAGCTAGAAATGGCCAGGAAGATCCATAGAGAGCTGGTAGTTCAGAATAAATCACTCTGTGTAGAGCTATAAAACACAGGACTGTATTTCAGCTTAGGGGAATAATGAGAAAGAACCAACAAAAAAACAGGAAATCATGAATGGAGATCCAGTTGTACATATGGAAACATTTGTCCACATGCTGTGCAAAGCAGCCAGTCCTTGATTGGCCAAGATGATCACTTTAAAAATAAGAAGAAGCCCAGCCTCGGTGGCTCCGTGGTTGAGCATCAACCTATGAACCAGGAGGTCACAGTTTGATTCCTGATTAGGGCACATGCCCGCGTTGTGGGCTCGATCCCCAGTGTGGGGCGTGCAGGAGGCAGCCGATCAATGATTCTTTCTCATCATTGATGGTTCTATCTCTCTCTCCCTCTCCTTTCCTCTCTGAAATCAATAAAAAATATTTTTTAAAAATAAAAATAATAGGAAGAGATGACGGGAAAAGCACCTCTACTCCAGCAGCGATCCTGGGTGCCTGCATCAAGATCCACAGACATCTTCCCTTCAAGATGTCTGTGGATTTGGAACTCTGCCCCACAGGAAAAGGGAATCTGGAGGAACTTGATCTGCCCCTGCATGACAATCCCCCCAGGAGAAGACTCCACGGGAGTCTGGGTGAGGGGGTCCCTGACTCACAAGCAGGGGAATGTTACCATCAATGTCGGAATGGATGACGTCAACAAACTGTGCATCGCTGGGATCTAATCTGTCCTCGGGCGGTTTCCCGTTGAATAAAGGGCCGGCAGGGTCGAGGCCTGGAAGGAAAACAGAGTTGATCTGGCAGCCCCACGCAATGAGTCACCTGCAGCTTTTGATCCCTCTCCTTGAAGAAGGCCCGCAGGCTGCAGGGCACCCCGGAGTGGGCAAGCGCCCACATTCCCATCCTGCTCCGTCAGGCTGCTTTCCACAACCCTCTAGCCTTTTCCCACAGTAGAGGTGGCTACCCTGGCAGTGCTCCGAGGATGGCATCCAGATTCCACCGGGAGGTATAGCTTGTGCACAGCTCAGCAGCAGAGAGTACACAGACATACGGGGGACAGGGGAACCTAAACTGGTTCCTCAGGAAAAAGCACCGAAGGGTGCATATAAAAAGCAAACACTATACTTATCTTTATCCCGTTTCAAATGATCCAGAAACTTCACTAAACCTTTTCTTCTTTACAGTTTCCATTTGTATTCATATATACCAGCTCATAAGCTCCACATCACAAGCTTGTGAGGGAGGCAGGGTAGCTATTATCTTTCTCATTTTACATATGAATGAACTGAGGTTCAGGGAGATCAAGTGTCTTAAGCAGAGCTGCAGACTCACAATGCAATCACCTCTCTCTTGTGGAGCTCTGGGTTTTATTGCCCTGAGTCTGGCAAGCTCGGTAGGAAAGAGTGAAACTCTCCTGTCAGCGAAGGTATCAGACCGGGTATCGAGGAGGGAAACAACGTGGGTGTCAATTCCTATAGAACTGACCCATCCCATAAATGCCTGAACTGATTTCTTGCTCTTGGTCAATGTTAGCTGGGCGTTCCTCACCATCATTATGAAACAGCTGTAAAAACAAGACAGCAGCTCCCATGATGCTGTAACCACAAAATAAAAACTTTAAACTAAAAAACAAACAAAAACAAACACCAGAGGTTCCAACAGGCCCCGCTTACTAGAAGCCTGGAGTGAGGAAAGTTTCATGGGACTTATGGAGGATTTTATCTATGAATGTCATTTTAAATGACATCTCCCCATTCCCTGGTGTTCCATATAAAATCCAAGAGATAGCATATTTGCCTCCACTTTCCTGGGTCTCCCGTGGTCGGCAAACTGCGGCTCGCGAGCCACATGCGGCTCTTTGGCCCCTTAGGAGTACCCTAATTAAGTTAATAACAATGTACCTACCTATATAATTTAAGTTTAAAAATTTTGGCTCTCAAAAGAAATTTCAATCGTTGTACTGTTGATATTTGGCTCTGTTGACTAATGAGTTTGCCGACCACTGGTCTAGCTTCAATTTCTCCATTTCTACCCTCTCAACACTCTTGCTTCCTTGAGGCTTATCTTTATCTGCTTTGTTTCCTTAGCTCCTTCTCCACCCTCACCCCCAGCTTCTCTTATTTTTCTATCTGCTCCCAATGAAACTGAAGAGAGAGGAGATGGATGAATACCCAGGCACCCAAGTCCACAGATATTCTCAACAAAAAAAGAGAAACGCATAGCCTTGGACAGAGTTTGCTGGGGAAGCCTGGTCTGCACAGAAGACAGCACCACTTGAGGTGTAAGAAGATGAACAGTGAGACAGTGAGAGCCCAGTACAGCAGCCTCCAGATCCATGGCCAATAAATCTGCTCACTATATAAAGTTCAAACCAGGGCAATTTTAAGAGTCATGAAGGCGCTGTTAATAATTATATCAGGACCCAAGGCACAAACGGGGACTGTCACAATAAACTTAGACATAATGCTCTCCTTAGTGATAAGCCACAGCAAAGGATGAGTTTACAATGTCAGCCACAAATCACAGGTAAGCTGTACTTGTGTGGGCAGAGACCACTGTGTGGGCAGAGACCACTGGAGTCAGGTAGATGTAACAACCAGCTGTGTGACCTCAGGCAGGTTACTTTACCTCTCTGGACCTCAGTTTCCTTATCTGCAAAATGGAGGTAGAATTAATAGCTACTTCAGAAGACTTATAAAAGGACTCCTAGATCTGAATTCAGAACATGCTGAGATTATTGTAGAACAGAAACAAAATGAACTGTATTGGACAGCCCAGTAAACTCTTGGACCCCAACCGCAGAGATTCCGATTCAGTAAGCTGACATTGTATCAGCACTCCAAGGTGATTTTTACACACAGTTAAGATTGAGAATTAGCCCTGGCCAGTGTTGCTCAATTGGTTGGAGCATCATCCCATAAACTAAGAGGTTGTGGGTTCAATTCTAGTCGGGGCATATACCTAGGTTTCGAGTTCATTGCCAGTGGGGGTGCTTACAGGAGGCAGCCAGTCGATGTTTCTCTCCTCTCTCTCTTTCCCATCCTCTCTCTCTAAAATAAATAAACATATACTTGCCCAGCCGGCATGGCTCAGTGGTTGAACATGGACCTATGAACCAGGAGGTCATGGTTCAATGCCCGGTCAGGGCACATGCCCAGGTTGTGGGCTCGATCCCCAGTGGGGGACTTGCAGGAGGCAGCCAATCAATGAGTCTCTCTCATTATTGATGTTTCTATCTGTCTCTCCCTCTCCCTTCCTCTCTGAAATCAATAAAAATGTATATTAAGATAAATAAGTAAATAAATAAGTAAATAAATAAACATATCCTCTGGTGAGGATTAAAAAAATTTTTTTTTCATTGAAAATTTAATGTATTATCAAGTGATGTGGGTACTTGAAATATTTTAAAATCTATTCATGCTCTGCTATCTTGTGTTGAAGAAATTAATGAGAAGTAAATGCAGGAGCTGTGCCTGGAGAGGAAAAGCAAAAGGAAGGGCAGAAGAAAGAAAGGGACAGGGAAGAGATTTAGCAGCCATTCCGGCCTAGATTATTAACAAGCAGAACCATCCAATACTTGGCAGGTGGGAGTGCACTGTGTCCTTGGGTAGCAGGCCAGACTCCTACTCCATAATCCAGGGACCCCCACTTAGGCAGGACAGTGGGAGATGAGTGGAAAAGGGAAATAAATACTTGACCCCTGAAACTGCTCTCAGGGACAGCTGAGATTGACCCTGGGGCTCAGAGAGGATGAGGAATCAGGAGAATCTGGGGGAGTCAGTGGAGAAAGAAAACTGAGCTGCCAATGGCTGAGTCCAGGTCACAGAGCAGGGCCATGTGGACGAGAGTGGAAGGAAGGCGGGCTGGGGAAATTTCCATGGTCAGAGGCCAGGTCACATTGCATTCACATTCAAAGTAGTTGTGGAACAGGTTTGCTGGGAGGCTGAAGGGCGAGACTGGGGGTTAAGTAGAATAAGCCAGTGGTGGTCTGGGACTAGTACTGGGGAGTAAATTTTGCTCATTTCTCCCGGAACTTTGTGTCTGTGATGTCAGGTTGGTAGCTTGAATTCAGATGGACGTATGTAATACCATGGAAATCAGTAAAGGAGTACAAGCAAATTCAAGTCATCTGTTCTTTGTACCCATAGGGGAAAAGGAACTATTTTTTTAGGTAAGAACATGTTGTTTTCTAAAACATAGTAATAGTTGTAAAAAGTAAAAAGAGCTTTGCTTCCCTAAGAAAGCAGGTAAATAAGAAAAATAAGGGCAACCTGGTTCAGGGTAAAAGTAAAGTAAAAAGAATGTGACCTCAAGTACCAGCAAATGGTGAGAGAGAGAGGGAGAGAGAGAGAGAGAGAGAGAGAGAGAGAGAGAGAGAGAGAATGAGAATGAGAATTACTTGCCCAGGGGCTACCTGTCAAGTTAAGTAGCACATTCAGACTTGTGACCCTAAAAGTTTACCTTCTAATCTTTTAGGGCCTAAATTGCATCTTTTACCTCTCCCCTCCCTCCTTATTTACCTTCCAGACTCCCTATAATTAAAATAGCTATCTCCATGTGAGCATGAATTCTGGGGAAGGTATAAATGGGAGAGTCTTAAGTTTCTGAAAGGGAACACCTCCTTCAGCCCTCCATTTGTAGCCCAGGAGAGTTACTAGCATATTAGACAGGAGAACCCAACACAGGTTCGTTTGGGATTTGACCTGTTGTGTTGCTGAGTTTTAGCTTGAAAGCTAATATTCAGAGAGTAAACCTGCACCATCAAAATTCCAATCTCATTTTCCTATTGTGAAACTCCTGCTGTGCCTGGGGACAGAAATTTATTAGGTATGTAGTTCAAGCTATTCTGGATTAAATGAAAGGAAGAAGGATATCTGCTTGAGGCACAGAGATTAAATACCCAAGAGACATAGCTGTTTTTCTAGCCATAACAGAAATAAAGTCACCACCAATCTTTTCTATAGCATATGTAATTTGCAAAGTGCTTTGCATATATCTTATTAAATAATAATCTGAGGTCAACATTGGTCTTCCTTTTGCACAAGAGAACGTTAAATAATTGGAAGAAGATCTGGCTTTCAAGCCAAGGACTTGGATTGCCTACATCATGCTCCCCTGCCCAGGCTCACCACCCCATGTCCATTCACAGGAAGCCTTACCTGTAATTCTCCCCAGCTTCCCATTGTACTCCTCTCCAACAAACCCAGATATGTGGGCTCCTAGACTTACTCCAATCATGTAAATGTCGTCAAGAGATGCTCCTTTTGTCTGGAATTTCAAGAGATCCATCATTATAAATTGTGGGGGCCAAGGAGTTGACAACATTTGGAGAAATGTCCTATCTGTTGATTTTGGAGAAACACATCTAAACACCTTATATCCATTATCTCACTTAAGTGTCACTACACCCTTGCAAAGTAAATACTATTCATTTGATTACACAGATGAGAAAACTGAGGCCTGGAGTAAAAGTGATCTGCCCACGGCCAGGCAGTGGGGAGGGGTCAGAGTAGCATTCAAACCAGACCGTCCAACTCCAATCCTGTGCCTAACCCTTTCGGCCATGGTGTCTCCATTCATGTTTCTTCTAGAAACCAAGCCAAAACATCTGTAAAACCTTCTCAGTTGGGGAGAAGGGCAACAATACATTTCGATGAACTTTTATTTATCTTCATGTTTGCTCAGTTAAATAAATTTACCATGGAGAGGGAAGGAAAGTAGGGTAGGAGTGGATCACATTGACCATAGTCTGTGGGGACAGCCTGTCATGAGTCGTTTGAATATTTACCTTTCCAGGGCTGTAGCTTAGGTGGGGAACTCTTATAAAACGTATGCCACTGTTAGACACAGTGACTCACTCTAAAAGAGTCCTGATACAAGTCACTTTTTTTTTTTCATAAAAGGGGCAATTCATGAGTTATTTAATCACCCTAGCCGGTTTGGCTCAGCGGACTGTTGAGTCACAGGTTCGATTCGGGTTGAGTGCCTGGGTTACAGGCTTGATGCCCTGTGGGGGTGTGTGCAGGAGGCAGCCAGTCAATGATTGTCTCTCATCATTGATGTTTCTATCTCTCTCCCTCTCCCTTCCTCTCTGAAATCAATAAAAAAAAATTTTTTAAAAAAGAGTTATTTAGTAAGTTCTCTAAAGACATAAATCATATATATACTGAAATCTCTCATCAGACTATGTGTATCAGTTTTGGTTTTGGACAGTCTAGTCACTAAACTTTTGACATTTCTAGGAAGAGGAACAGCTATAGAAGTTAAGGAAGATCTAATCATTGAAGCCAAGAAACTCCTAGACCAGTGATGGCGAACCTATGACACGCGTGTCAGAGGTGACAAGCGAACTCATTTTTTTGGTTGATTTTTCTTTGTTAAATGGCATTTAAATATATAAAATAAATATCAAAAATATAAGTCTTTGTTTTACTATGGTTGCAAATATCAAAAAAATTCCTATATGTGACATGGCACCAGAGTTAAGTTAGGGTTTTTCAAAATGCTGACATGCCTAGCTCAAAAGGTTCACCATCACTGCCCTAGACAGAACCTGTCCTCCCCACAGGACACCTTTACGTGAGTTAGAAAAATATGCCTCTTCCTAAGGATACTTTGCTGTCATTCGCTGGAAAATTATTTTAACAAACATATGCATCTATAATGGCAATGATGCTCCCTTAGGTGGGCGCCTTGTGCAGTGAACAACCTGCACAGCCATCCTTATGGGCTTTCCCTCTCCCTCCCCTGGGGCTTATGTGGATCTGCAAAATAGTTCCCCTGTTCACTGCCGATACTCCTTGGCTTTCACTCTTCAGATAATGAGCCAGTTTCAATTTAGCCCGGAATCATCTAAGAGAATGCTCCCTTACCAACAGGTGATCGATAAATTTCTTCAAGACTGTTGCTACTTTTCTGGTCTTATCAGCAGCCTTGTTGTATAATACCGTTGTAGCTCCTCGATTCCAATCAACAACAATCACGTTCATGTCCTCTATGAAGAGCAAACCCTCTACTAAGTCCCCTATCCAAACGGGAGGGGAGCCTGTTGGCCTGAACCCATGGATAATGAAGGTGGTTCTCTTGGTCACGTTCAAGTTCCCCAAAGCTGTGGCGTTGATGACTTGTGCGCAGGTCGGGTCTCTTCTCGTGTAGAGCATCAACTTTACCCGGAGTCCCGTACCAACCACTGCACTGTGGAAGCTCAGTCGGGTGAATGAAGGACATGTTCCATCTGTGTCTGAAAATAAAAATTAGATGGCATCGTGATGGTTCTTTACTTAGTGGGGCATCAAGTCCTATACTTGTTGGAGTTCTATGTGCCTTACAGCACCTAGCTATCAAGAGGTTAGATCTAGTTGCATGATGTTGCAAACTCATACCTGATTGAGAATTCATACATAGTGACTTTTTCACCAGGAAAACCATCTTTCCAAATTCTACCTTCTTCAAGGTCTAATCCCAAAGTCACCTTAATGAAGCCTTCTCAAGCTCTCCCAGGTATAACTACTGTCCCTCACCCTGGAGCTCCCCAAACCCCGTTAGGGACCTCATTGACAGCACAAGGAAAATACTTTCAGGGGTGTATTATGGGTATTTATGTACATGTGTGTCTATCCTGCTAGTCCGCAATCTCCTTGGAATGGTGTCTTATAATCTTGTGTATCCCTCACTGATCCCAGCACACAGTAGAGGAGTCAATAACTGAAGCTGCATGGTCCAAGCTACTCTTTCCTTGTCTGGAGCACCTGCCTAAGACGACAGCAGATAAGGTGATGTGGCTTGCCAAGAGCCCAGTGACATCTAAAACTGTTGACCACAGTGGTGTTTTGGACCCTCTCCTTTGCTCCTGAAAGCACCACCTTCAAGCATTCATCTTGCTGAGTAGGCTGTAAGGATGGCCTTAGAGGAAAAGTTAGGGATGGGAAGGGGAACAGTATAGATGGACCTGGAGCATTTGTCATGGCAGAAAGTAAGGGAATGTTTAAAAACAAGTCACAAGGATACAGGAGCCAACTTGAAGGGGCTTCCACTCGCCAGATCCGGGATAATTTGAGCACAGAATAATTAAGGACATTAATGAAATATAGGCCTTTGGAAAAAATAGGAATCCATGCAAATAAACAAACAAATAAATGGAGGCGAAAAGAGGACTCTTACTTCCAGTATAAGGCTGATTGCCGACTGGTAAATGTGGAGTGAATGCTGGAGCTGCTACCAATCATTTTGCAATCATCAAAACGAGGACTGGTTAGGCAAGAATCATCAATGGGTGCTGAGCTGAGTGGCGGTGGGTTCTGAGGAGGAGCATGTGTGTGTGGTCTTAAAATGTCTCCCACAGATTGCTTATGAGTGATTAGGGACAAAGTAGTAATATATGGTGGAAAAACGGAACAACACCTTGACTAGATTGTCCAAATGAACATTACTAGTGAGGGGTAGATGGACAGCATGTGCCTCTAGCTATAATGCACTGAGAAGGACACAACATCACCTATGCAGTATTCTGGTGGGGAATGCATAACCCGAAACTAACCATGAGGAAAAATCAGACAAACACAAAATGAGGAATATTCTATTTCTTTAAAAAGGTCAATGTCATAAATCTCAAAGGCTGGAGAAATGTTCTAAATTGAAGGAACCTAAGGAGAAAGGAGAAATAAATGCAATATCTGGTCTTGTTTGCATCCTATAATAGAAGGAAAAATACTATAAAAGAAGTTATTGGGCATTGACTAAATTGGGATATGAACACTAAGTTAGATAAAAGTTTGGTATCAATGTTAAATTAATTGAGATTAAATAGGGAGTTAGAAATAAACTAAAGACTAAGTTGCAAGGTAAGAGGGGTGGTGGGAAGGAAGGCGGGCTTTGGGGTCCTTGAGTATTGAGACAGAATGTTAGTTTTGCAACATTATATAAGGTCTTGGCCAAGAACCACGATCAAATAATAGTTAAAAGCAAACCTCTGCCCAACATTGATATCCAGACACAATAATATAATTGGGAAGACTATTGTATTTTTAGCTATAAGAATTAGTTAAAACCTTGTTTGACCCACTTTCCCACATGCTGCTTGGCTGAGAGAGAACAGCCGAGTAGGAGGTGAAGGGGAGCAACAAACAATCCCCAGCTGCAAGTTGGAGATGGTCTGTTAGGATATTCAGATGAGTCCTAGCCAGTTTGGCTCAGTGGGTAGAGCGTCGGCCTGCAGACTGAAAGGTCCGAGATTTGATTCCAGTCAAGGGTAAGTATTTCGGTTGCAGGCTCCTCCCCGGGCGGGACCCTGGTCTGGGCATGTGCAGGAGGCAACCAACCTATGTATTTCTTTCTGTCTTTCCCTCTCTCTTCCACTCTCTCTAAAAATCGGGTGAGGATTTAAAAAAAAAGAAAAATAATATTGCCCTAGCTGGGTTGGCTCAGTGGATAGAGCGTCGGCCTGTAGACTGAAGGGCCCTGGGTTCATTTCCGGTCACGGGTACATGCCCCGGTTGTTGGCTTAATCCCCAGAAGGGGACATGCAGGAGGCAGCTGATCAATACTCTCTCTCATCATTGATGTTTCTATCTCTCTCTCCCTCTCCCTTCCTCTCTGAAGTCAATAAAAATATTTTTTTAAAAAAAATAATATTCAGGAGAGGGGGGCCACACCCTGTGATGGCCATTCTTGGGGGGATGGAGCAGAAGGGGAAGACTGCTGACCTGCAACTGGCCAACAGAAGGCAAGAGGGACTTGGGAAATATCTGTTCTGACTTCCTCCGATAGGAATTTAGAAACCATTTGCCCTGGGCCCCTAGTCTCAGGGAATCTATACTTGCACACCCAGAAACTGCTGCTCCTGGAGTCTGAGCCTCAGAGTAATCTTCTTCCTGGGTCTATAACCTGAGTCCATTCGTGTAGGCTTTTATTTGAAACTTCTTGCACAGGCTCTGGTACTCAGGAGTGAAGTTCCAAAATAGAATGAGTGAAAGCTCAAATAGAAGGTTAAAAATTAAGAAGGCTTTGAAATACCTCACCCTGGAAAATAGTGAGCCCCAAACTCACACATTCCTCCTTTTACTCTTCACTGTCAAGTAGCATGTGCAGAGGCATGTTCACAATATACTATCTTTGTTTTTCTTCTCCCCACCCCCCAGCTTTTTGATAAATAACATTGTGTAAGTTTAGGGTGTATAATGTGATGATTTGACATATGTATATATTGAGATATGATTATCACAATCAGGTTATTTGTTAACACATCCTTCACTTCACATAGTTACCTTTGTCTGTGTGTGTGGCGATAAGCTTTAAGATCTCTCTTAGCAAATTTCAAGTATACAATACAGTAATGTTAACTATAGACACTACTCTGTGCATTAGATGTCAGAACTTAGTCATCTATGTAAACATGTTCTCCACCTGTTGGCCCCTTTCATTCATCTCTTCCTGTGGATTGCATGCTCCTGGAACACATGGACTGAAACTGGTCTGGTGCTTGTAGAGCAAGTCCCAGAGTAAATAATTGTTTAGTCACTTTATTGAACAGGTGTCACAGGGTAAGTAGGGCTGGGCCTCTCGGTTTTGTTCCTGGCTGTGCGACTGACTCACCAAGTAGCCTGGGGAAATCATGTCGTCTTTCACTTGTCATCTACCTGCCCAAGAGAGGAATGCCGTGGAGATAGTTATGAATGAGTTCTCACTGGGGAGCGTGGTGGTGGGGGAGACAGAGATCCCTTCCCAAGGAGGGAACTGTTTGTTTTGACCCAAATGAGTAATGTTAAGCCAGGGTGTCAAAAGTCACATATCTGAGTCCTTGGAAGGCTCAGAGAAGATTCGTGACGTTTGTGCTGGAGTTGTTTTTCAGTAGCAACTGCCACCTTTCATGGCTATGGAATGGCTCAACCAACCTCCTTGACCTGCTGAGTCTCTAGTAGAAGTCCTTAAAAATGGGAAGTTAGTGAAAGGCAAAAAGAGCAGTACAAATGGATTTTTATTTTTCATTTCATAGAACCACTCTGACTTCATATACTTTTAAATGTCAGTTATTTTTATGTTGGCATTGTGATCTGGAAAAGTCCATTGCAAGTACTGAGTGAAAAACAGATTTCCTAGTTCCTCTCTTCAGTACTAAATACTACAACAGCTTTACATACATTATCTCCCATCTTCAGAGGAAATGTACAGTTCATTCAACAAGAGTCTGCTCTAGCCCAGCTTCTGTGTCAGGTGGCATTTCCAAGGGGGAGTCAGGCATTAATGAAATTAATGTTTCAGGAATTATATCCTTTTTCATTTTGTGATTTGTTTGCCTTGCATGTATGACAGTGAAGCCATAACTTGTTTTTTTTCTTTTCGTTAACATTTGCCTGGTATGTGTTAATCCTTTTAAAACCTTTGAAACCCTAAGGGATCTTATATATAGCATCTATTTAGATTTTATTTTATAACCCAATCTGAGAGCCTTTATTTTATTAAGTATATTTTTATTGGTTTCTGAGAGGAAGGGAGAGGGAGAGAGAGAAACATCAATGATGACAGAGAATCATCGATCGGCTGCGTCCTGCACGCCCCACACTGGGGATTGAGCCGGAAAGTCACAGGCATGTGCCCTGACTGGGAATCAATCCATGACCTCCTGGTTCATAGGTGAATGCTCAACCACTGAGCCACACCAGCTGGGCTGGGAGCCTCTTTTTTTTTTTTTTTAAATAGGTGAGTTCAGATTTATTGGCATAACAGATATAATTGGTGTGAAGGCCACAGAAGTGCCTTACTCAGATCTGCCTTCAAGAGAACCTTCTTCAGGGAGCACAGTTAAGTTGACAGTGCCTCCAGCCACCCCACATTCACACTGAAGTCATTACTCACCCAGGCTGCTCTCAGCCAGCTATTGTGGGGTGCTGCAGCCAGGCCACACAGGCTATTCCTGCATTGTGTAGGATTCAAGTAAGAGCCAACTTTAGCTCAGGGACTCTGCATCAGCCTGGCTGTAATATTCTCAGACCTGTGCTGAAGTTCA